CACCATGAAACATATCTCTGTATATTCAAATATGCACGATTTTCTTTATTCATCTGCCTAGAGCAGTTCCCAAGTTGTTTATCACCAACTATGGTGATAAAGTATCCGAGCTATGAGCTCATTATGGGGTTCTCCATAGAGGGACAAAGAACTCCCCTAGTAAGATCATAGTTTTGTGATGCTGAAACTACTCCACAGTGTCCCCTGGGGGCAAACCCAGCCCAGCTACTCACAGCCTGTTCTGATCAACCTATATAACAATGTATAGCTTGCGAAAAAAAAAAGCAGACTTTGCTCCCACTCCTGTTCTCCACCTTGCCCATGTTATCCCATACTTTCTGCTCTAACTAAATATGTTTGAGAGTGAATTAATTTGAGGGCCAACTCCTTTGAGGCAAAATGTTTAGCTGGGTAAATCAGCTTGGTTGTGGATGTAGTGGCAAACCAGCAGAAGGGCTGAATCTGATGTGCCTTTTGGAAAGGATTTGAAATGTTTCGTCCCTTTCTGTTGCATTCATGCAGAGAATTGTTTTTCACCAGGACGACACTTTTGGCAAACTGTGTTGGGCTGGTTGGTTATGCTGTTCTCACTGGAATGTAGGGCATTGGTGGTAGCATCTATTTCACATGACTTTGATATTCCTTTGGAAGCTTTTCAGGAGTGAAGTAAATTGTGAATAAAATGAAATTTACAGGTGTGGACACAAATGACCAACATTTTAGAACGCAGATAAAACAGATGTGTTTTGAAAAGTCATGGAGTCGAGTGGCTACATTGCATGCACGTCTCTTGTAGCACATTATCACTTGGCAGACTCCTTTGGAGCTTGCCTGTCCCTATGGTTTTCCTGATGATGTACAGAAAGTCTCCATAGCTCATGCAGGGCAGTACTGAGTGGCCAGAGCTGTCATTCTTTTAGCAAGAGGGCAAAGGAAATGAAAGATCTATTCCCTGGAGCTCTTCTTGAATATTTATCATGGAAGTGCTAAGCATTTCTATCAAGCTGCTCAGCCTTCAAGGTCTGGAATTGATTTTGCCGCTGATGTTTACTGTAGAAAATGCATGAGAGGAAGTACCCAAAAATGCAGATGAAATGTTTCAGTACCCAGTAGTGACAGGGGCATCTGCAAAGATCCTATGTCTGTTGTTGTATTTGTGACAGATTTTTGCCCCTAATGAACCTGGTCAACAGCTCCAGGGAGAGAGACTGCACAGCGGAGCTGTCGGCGGGTCGACCAGCGACCCTGAGGAAGCCTCCAGAATACAAGCAGGGAGCAGGAGTGATTTGTGCTCGCTGAGGATCTCATTTGCAAGCCGTAAGCTCTTGGGGGAAGGATTTGTCTCTGTGCAGTCTGGCATCGCGACTGCTCCTGTCCCTCCCTCCCAGCTCATCAGGTATGCCCATCTTTTCAGTTTCACTGTGTGCAGATGTCGACCAGTTGATAAAATTGCCAGAACACAGATCTGAGCACATCAGCTTGTACCACTAATAGGTGTCCTGTGATGCGAGTGAGAAGCAGAGAGGGGCAGGTGTCGCTCCCAGCACTGCTCCTTGCCAGCCTGCAGGAGGTAAGGAGACTTGTTTTGCAGCACCGCTTATTCTGGCTAGCTCTGGCTGATGGTGGCCGGGAGATTTGTCTTCTCTCTGGCAGCAGCACTGCTGCTCGCAGGTCACATCTGTGAGCTGGCAAAGCTGCTATGCCCTGGTGGGCCGCGTGCCCTGCGCCAGGTCCAGCACCAGCCTCGTGCTGTGGAGCTCTGCCGGCTCTGCGCCGCTCTGTAAATCAAGAGCAGTGCTAATTGTCTGCATCCAAGCACAGTCGTGTGTGATGGAGCCAGGGTTATCAGGACAAAGTGCCCCAGGAGATGTCGAAAAGGGCCACGTTTTCAGTGTGCTTGAATGTTATGTGTTTCCAATGAAATCTATGGACCTGAACTGTATTTCCTCATAAAACTGTCCTTCAGTATAAGGATCTCGCCTGAGGATTTTATGAATAACATAACCTATGACCAACCTCAAATTCATGACATTTTCAGTATTGTTTCCTACCCGTGCAGGAGAAAAACAAGTCCTGCAGTAGGTTTTGTTAAATTAAATTTGGTTTTATTTGAATTTTCAATATTATTTGAATCCACTATTTCACATTCTTTGTAGAGTTAGTGATCTGCGGTAGTTCAGAATTGTGCTTGGGATATTCAAAGTGGATCTTGTAACTCAAATGGAGAATTGTCAGAGAGGTGTTTTGTGAGGCAACCGCGGATAGCACTGATAAGAAGCGTGGGTTAGATTCAGGCTATTGCCCTCGTCTACATTATTGACCTTTTGCCTTTCATATTGCATGGCCTGTGGGTAAAGGAACGAGGATTAAAGGTTAAGAAACCTCTCTTTCAAGAGTTAGGATGCCTAAATGTTTAAGATGTTTTCTTTCTCCGGTAATTCCAATATATATTAAAGCTAAAACCCCTCCGAGAGGTAATAAAACAGAGCAGCAGAGAAGATCATCAGGAAGATTAGGAAGAAGAGAGTTAAGAGCTTTTCCTTGATGCTTTCAGCTTTATACTTTGTTCCTATTTTATTCTGTCAATCTTTTCTCCTGATTTTCACTGTGATTTTTATTGTATTTTTATGGAACAGGGATGGTGTTGCAAACTACTAAAGGGAAACTTGTCGTTGAGTGGAGGGGAAAAGAACATTCCTTTGCACATTTTTCAGTGTTCCTGTTATATATCAAATTTAAAAAGTAACAAGAAGTAGCATCCCGTTTTCATTAATGCTTCGGGGTTTCTTGGCACGCGTGTTTCTGTTTCCAAATGTTCATGTAAGAGTCAAAGGAGAATATGAAATTCATCATTTCTCGCCATCAGTAAGAGTGTGTCTTTCTTGTCAAAACCATGGGAATTCCAGGATCTTGCTATGAAATAGCAGGCTGATAGCTCGCTTCTTCCATTTGCTCTACATCCAAAACCAGGAGCAACGGGAAATAATACCATGGTGTATTAGGATAAAGGGCCACGGTGTGATTGCTTCGCTTACGTGAGTATTCCTGTTGACACGGTTTGGCTCATGGCCCATATAAATTTGTTCAAAATATGTGTATTCACATTCTTGGAAGAGTTCTGTATTCCATCTGGATGCTGTGAACCTTCTAAGCCTGCACAAATAATTCCCGTATTCATGATAATGATTGATTTTTATGTGTCTTGCCAGTTAAATATATAAATAAATATGTATATATAATGCAAGAACAGAGTGTGAGAGCATCTCATGCCTGCCACTGCTTTCTTGTAGTGAGGAGTGTCCTTGGGAAATGGTAACAAAAAGTGTTTATCCAGTGATTAAATCACCGCAGTGCGGAGCTCTGTTCAGAATGGGTTGCAAATCAGTATTGTGATTCCGTTTGTAAATTTTCATGGGATTAGTCTACAGCTATTTGTACATGTACACTTTAATCTTTTTTAAATCCTTGTCTTTCACTTTAAAAGGATGAAGCAGTGATTGACATAAGATCACATTATCTCCCCCTTCTCAGTGTGGTGGCGATCACCAGTGCAAGCCAGGCATGAAAAGGGCTGGGGCTAACGCTGGGATTCTCCAGGGATGGTATTTTCAGTAGGGACAGGGAGTGGGTTTAGTGCTTATTTATGAAGTACTGGTAGCATTTAATTAGAATATTACATACCGTAATCACCAATGTTAAGAAGATACACTTAAGTAGGGACACAGAGGGGCTAAAAGGATGATTAAGGAATTGAGAAAGAAGATTAAGACATCTTGGCTTGTTCAGTCTAATAAAACAAATCAGAGAGATGGGGTCCAATGCAGGTGGCCTCGTGTTCCCAGAGGTACGAAGAAACCTCCAGTGCCTGGTCTGCAGGGATGGCAACCCTGGAGTGGGAATGGCAACAGGTCTCCAGATCTTCTGAGATCAGGCACAAGCTCTTCCCAGATCATAGAGGCTCTATAAATATATATATATAGGTTTAAAGATTTCTACGCAAGATATCCTGATGATAAAATGCTAAGAAATAATAAACGTGCATTACTGCACTTGTAACCTCTTTCTTTAGGAGGTGTAGGAACACTGTGCAGCATTTAGTTTGGCCCTTCTCACATGCAAACCCAAATTCTGCAGTGTCAAAAGCTGTGTTTTAACTCGCAGGAACAAATGACTAGCTGCTTTGGGTGTGAGAGAAAGCAGAGCAGGGGCCTCCTGGGCCTTGGAAAGCCGCTTCAATAGAAACCTTAATGGAAAAGAGGTACTGAATGGAGCTCCAGGACTGCTGCCGACTGCTGTGCGGGCAGGTGTAGGGACTGGATGTTGTTAAAAGTCCTTTGTATCTCTTAATTTCTGTGTTTCTATGGAAACAGTTACTGAATGGGAATTGTTCTTGCCTGCCTCTTTCTCTTTCTGGTCATGGTTTCATTAGTGGGAAGAAGTGAAACTTCAGATGAAAGCCAGAGCATTGTAGTATTGCATTTGATGGCAAACAGAGGTGCTGCTCTGGAGCAGTCTCGGCAGCAGGACTGCGCTGTTTTTAACAAGACCAGGATTGCTTCCTTACTGCCTCACTCCCGTCTTTGTCTTCAAATCTGGAAATATGTAAGTAGAAGGTCCCAAAGCTTTGGTTCATCTTTGGGAAGTTATTTCTGACCTTAAAGCAAGAAGTGGCCTGTGTGACCAGCCACTTGCTTGAAATGAGACATGCTACAGAGGTAGGACTTCACTTTGCCTGGGCTCCTGATAACCATTCTGACTGAAAGCACCTCATTCTACCTGATTTGGGTTTCAGGTAGAATAAAAATATAGGCAGATAGGCTCTGAGCACAGTACTATTATAGAAATAAAACAGTCACTCAAAAGGGAGTTTGGCATGACAACAACCCAGGCACTTATGGACTGGCCTGTATGTGCTGATGAGGTGAAAACAAGCTGCTTTCTGCAGTCTGGGCACATTTGGGTCTTGTCCACATGATCCTCCTGAGTAAGAAATGCTCTAGGGTGGCCTTGGGGCTGGGAGGTGGCAGGTAGAGGGTCAGAGCTGCAAGAAAAAAAGTCAAATGCCTCTAGAAGTTACCAATGAAGTAGCTTCATAGTGGCTTTCTGGAAGTTTATTCCTTTGGTGATGCTCAAGGGTGGAAAGCTAATCTTCTAATTCCATTCTGGATGCCTTCATTAGAGGAGGGAAAATGTCATATGTGATTCTTTATTGCAGAGACAAGAAGGTAACTGTGTATAACAAAATCTGGCCCTGTGAAAGGAACATCCTCATTCTCAATATGAGTTCATTTATTACTTGGGTCTGGCTTTCTCCAGCAATTCTGCAGCATTGATTGTGCAAGGGAAATCCAATTTTCTTGTCAGTGGTCTTAACTCAATGGACTTGGCACTTCTGAGGAATTTCTAATACTCTTAACTGCTGTCACTCAGCCCCACAGCAGGTTCCATGGTGTTCTTACTGTCCTTATCTTTATTCCAAAGTATTTCCACTAATGGACAGCAAACTTGCTTCATTTGTTGCTGCAAAAGATGGCAATTGCTTCAAGACTAACTTTTATAGCACCTGTTGGAAATACACAGTGGGATAAAAAAGATCATTTAGGATGTTCCTAAAGAAGCTCTTGTACTCCCTGGCTCCAGAGTTAGAGGAGAGTCAGGAAAAGGAAAGCATCATGGAGAACAGATGAAGAATGGGCTCTTCTGTTAGTCCTGAAAACAAAATAGAGGCAGATCATGCTGGGGAGTCTGTCACACGTTCATTGTGAATAAATCACTTTTTAGAAGATTGCTCATTGCTGTGGCATTCGGAGGCGAAGAGCAGATCTCAGGAATACCATCTGGTAGTGATATCTGTGATGAGAGAAAAAACTGTCCATTGCCCTCTTAGTCACCCATGAGGGGAAAGCAGAATTGTCCAGGACTTCAGATATTTTTCCCCATGTTTCTCTATATAGAGGCAACTGCCTGTGCTGAGCTAGAGACCCTGATCTGATCTAAGCCTGCATAATTCTCTCCAATTCAGCCACTTCTATCATTGATTTCTATACTTTTTAGCAGGCTGCAGTCTCCAAAAAGAGAGATTTTCCCCTCCTACATTTTCTGCTTTACCCATTTTCTGCTGTTATTTCTTTTCCTATTTCTGCCCTGAGTACCATGTGCCATACAAGTCTGTGATAACTAGTAATGTTGATGTTAAAAATAGAAAAGACGTGTTTAAAAATAGGCTGCACAGTTAGCGCCGAGGAGGGAGTTCAGGAGGATAAAGTCTTTTGTATGCAAAGAGTTCCTTGGCGAAGCGCCCCTGTGCCTGGGGAAGCATCGCTGCTCTGCACGGGGCCCGTGGGGCCGGCTGTGGTTTGCAGTGGCACAAACAGACACACAAGTCTCTTCCCAGCAGCCCAGAGCACCAACATTAGGAGTTTGCTGCTGTGGGAATATGTTGTTGTGCTTCAGACAACACCAAAGTCCTGGGTCTTTTCCTTGTGAAGGTGCTTGTGAAGTGGCTAAGCTCTCTAGCTGTTATATTTGCAAATTAAGAGAGGTTAACAGATGTAGAGGCTGCTGATAGCAGTCAATAAATGCTTCTGACATTATGGTAAGTGCAAAATGTCAAGGTTCCATCTTCCGAACATGCTTCTGAGGAGGAAAGGGTAGTAAAGGGCAGTGGAGATGAGGCCGTGCTGCAGCAGAGGCTAACATGGAGAGGATGACATGGATGAGGAGGGCATTTGTCCTGTCGCTGGCACAGGGAGGCTTGGACACACTTATCGCACTCCAGAGGCTTAGGGTTCCAGATCCCTAGGATCCTTAAAGCCTCATTGAATTAGCTTGCTCATTAACCAGAGGAGTCTTGTTAAGCACTGTAGGCTCTAATCATCCCCGATGAGGCTGCCCCTCAGCTTACAGTGCTGCTTTCTCGGCCTTATAAAGCCTCGGGTCTCCTGTGGCTCACAGACATGGGATTGTGTCCTCATTTTTATCCTTTGTGTCATTTCCAGCAACACTGGCTATACCTGTGGAAGCCGTATAGGGACTGACATGTCTTAAGTTCCCTTTCCTGCCTGGAGTCAGTCAGAGGTTGGAAATTGCTCTCTAGTTATGCCTACATAGGGGCATATGCTCTAGTGTTTGTCAGAGAGCACTCTCCTCCTTCAGCACTCCAAATGCCCCTGAGAAACCAAGGGAAGCCTTTTCTGTTTCTTCCTGCTTGCATCTTAGGGCTATCTTAGAAATGAGGCAATTAGGAAAATGAAAAAGTTGGTGAACTGAAACAATTGAGAGGAGCATCTGACTGCAAGCCCAGGGCCAACATTCTGACAAGGCAACCAAGTAAAGCTGCTCACAAGCTATTCGAAACACTCCCGGCCCCAAATAAGTACAATAAAAACTACAAAACTAATCTTTAAGTTTAGCTCCCAGTATTGGGATTATTGCATTTATTAAAAGGCAGTCACTGGAGAGCTGAGGGACTCTGTTAAGATATCTCCAGCTCTTGGAAGCTCACGCAGGAATGTAGCCTGGGGGACTTGCTTGTTAATGCTCATGTTGACTGGCAAACTGCTGCGTGTCTGCAAATCTGGCTGGGCGACCAGGGGGGATGTTTCCATATGGAGGTTCGACTGCTGCCGATTGAGGTGAAGAGGACAGCGTGGGGAGAACGAGAAAGTAATTCAAAACCCTGGTGTGATTTAGCCTTTGAGGCTCTAACCTAGCTATAAATATTAAATGCTGGCTCTGGATGGACTTGCATTGGGCCACTGTTTCCTCTTCCAAGTAGCAGCAACCTCACCAATCCCCAAAGTGCTGGAGTGGCAGACAGCAGCGTTTCAGAAGGGCAGGAATCCTCTGCCCTCTTTTCCCCCTCTTTTTTTTCTCTCATCCTACTAGTCACCTTACAAGGAGCCTAGGGAAAAAGAGTTTTAAAATGCCTGTTTGCAAGGATGCCTCAGAATTGGAGCAGTTTCTCTCTTTGCTTGGGGCTTTTAGCTTGTAAAACAGAGCAAGGAAACACAGAGGTGCAGGGGGAAGGAGGGAAAGCACCGAGGCAGAAACACCCTGTACAGTCTGATGGATGTGGTGTCCCCTGCTGCTGTTGTCTGCATGGAGGTACAACCATCTGAGGGGTGTACAGAGCCACAGTACCCCGGCCTTATTCCTTTGGGGAACTGTAAAACACCCATGCAAGAAGTGCATGTGGATTATTACTTGCAATTGGATGCAGAAGTGTATTTCCCCTAAGTCCCAATGACTATATACAAATATTTCCCCTGTTCATTGTAACTATAGACATGCTTGCATTAAATAAGCTTTTTCCTATTAATTAAATCTTAGAGAGACAGCCCTTTCTGCAATTAAAAGGGCTGGAGCAGAGGAAGAGAGATCTGCTATGCTCGGGAAAGCTTTAAAGTTTAAAATAAAGGATGCTAGACTAAATTTCAACTTTCAGCAATGGCATCTTTGGATAACTTTGCCTGTTGGATTGAAGAGCGTGTCTTATTAGATTTCTGAGCACCATATATGTACTTACAGCTTATGCCCAAGTTAATCTTTGCCTTGATGAGAAGATTAATCTATTTAACCTAAGCCTTTCACTATTTAAGTGCATTTTGCATGATGCTCTCAGTGCCTCCGCTGAACTCTTCCAGTGTACCAGACGGCCTGGTGGCATCCTTATCCCCAGAAGTGGGGCACAGCGTGTCCTGTAGCAGTGTTGCAAAGTTTAAAGGCCAAGGGAATCCATTTTCATACCTCGCACACACTAATGCTGTTTACACATCCAAGAATTGTGCTAATCCTTTTAGCCACAAACACGCTCTGGGCTCTTGTGTCCAGCCGGGTTTCTGTTGTGGCTGCAGAAGTCTGTCAGAGTCACTGCTAATATTGTACATTCCATTTTATCCAGCCCGTATGTCTATAGCAAGTGGCCTCATTTCTGGGCATTGCCTGTACTGAAGTGGCTGTTGTTGCTTTGCACTAAGCTTGTTGAGTGAATGAGATGCTTCTGAAGGGGGATTCATCCTCTTCATGTATTTCAGTCCTCCGTGTCTTGTTACCTGGAAGTTTGATGAGAAGCAAATTAAATAGCTACAGGAATGCTTGAAGAATATATTTTCTAGATTATCCCAAGCAATCTTTGTTTGGCATTGACACGAGAATCTTTGCAATGTACAGTCATGGTTTTTCTTCATCAATCTGCCCTACTCCAAATGAACCACAACCCATCTAATTCCTACCATCCAATTTGGAAAACTGCAAGGAGAAATTCAAATGGGGCAGCACAGTGGGAGTCCCCTGGTTCCGCAGAGGGTTTCAATAGTAACAGCCCTGGCAGCCCCGTCCCCTCCTTGTCCCCTGAGCCACTTGGCTGCTTAGGTAGGTGCTTTAGTCCTTCCACAGCCTCCACAGTAGCAGGGGATCTCAAGTCCCCATCTCAGCTGTCACATATTTCCTGCTAGAATTGTTTTGAATAGGAAAATTTGACTTTCAGTTAAATGTTGCTTTGGGAAGAGAAGCATATGCTTTTAACAAAAAATACGGTATTTTGTCAAAGTGGTTTTCCAGCCTCTCCGTTTTTGATTACTCGCGTTGTTTGGTCAGGGGACTTGGCGTTTTCACTGGGAATGCAAATATCTCCAGACAATTTTATAAAACCTATATTTACTTCACTTTCTTGGGAAGACTTCTTCAGAGGAAAAAAAAAATAGTTTGGAACAGCTTTACTGACTAAACATAAGAAAACCTGTAATAGTCTGTGTTAGTCATTGCCTTGTACAAGCTGTGTTTAGTTCCGCGAAGGCAAGCTGCAGTTCTGCAGGTGTGTTACTAAGTGATAAGTGCTGTTCATATGCATGTGAAAATAAAGGACCACATTTTAGCTTATTTTAAAATTATGCTCCTGACAGGTACCGTATGGAAAGGAAACAGCCAATGCAGAAGATTAAGCACAGAATCTGTTTAATGTCGCCAGCGGAATCTGGGTGTAATGTATCCAACTCTCCTAAGATTCCTAGTGCAATGAGTACTGCATGAGAATGTGAAATCTCGTGTCTTTGAACTGAATCATTCCAGCTTTGGGGATTTTGCAGACAGAAAGACTAACATTATTGCACTGCAATATGCTCCCTTTCTTTCCCATGCTTGCACGGCCTCAGAGATGGATGCGCATCATTCCCATATAGAGAGCATCTCTAATGGTAATGAAAGCATGCCATAAAGTGGTACTTTTTGGTAGAGCTTAATCATTAAGATGATTTTTGAAGCATAATGAGATGTTGCAGAGTGCGGCTCCACTGAAAGCAGTTTAAATAATGTTAACATTGAATATAGCAATCTTACAGAGAAATAAAATCCCTCTCAGGGTCTGTTTCTGTCTCTGAAAGGAAATCAATTTCCTTTGCGTGATAGCTTTCCCCAGCACTTAACATAGATGGGGGAAATAAGTTATTGTTAGTGTTTCCCATGATTACCTTCTGAAGGTCAAATCCCGAGCAAAAAAAAAAAAAAAAAAAGGAAAAAAGGCAAAAATCCCAAGAGGTCATATGACCCCTTCCTAAAGGCACCTCGGATGCATGCTGCTTTTTTCCTATGTAATTATGTCCCCCTCTCGGAGAGCGTGTAGAAAAGCGCCGCTACCTCCCTGATGTGAGATGCGAGTTGCTCTATGGCTCTAATGGCTGCAGATTGTGCTGGCTAATTTGAACTTTGGTTTGCAGCCTCCTGCCTGAGACAGGGGGAATTGGATGGTTTCATTTATTTTTACATTTTTGCTCTCCCCCGTGTTTCACGCAGGGGCGATGGGAGCCGCGAGCGTGAGTGTGTCAGAGCTGGTGGGAGAGGAGCCTCAGTGCAGCAGGTAACAGAAACCAGAAATTCCATAAAAATTACTCCAATTTGTTCAACTTCATTGTGTGCAGAAGAGCAGCGTGCAGGAGGGCAGGAAGCGTGGCCACGAGCAGCGCGGTGGGGTAAGATGCCCCTCAACTTTTCCTAATACACAGTGTTATCTCTTCAGGAGGGAGACAGGCTGAAGTGCCAATAAAAACTGTAATTACGTTCACAACAGGAAGCTGCATTTAGAGTGACAGCCAGGCTCTTTCTTAAACCCTGTTATGGTAGGTTAAGATTGCAGGTCTTAATTATATGTATGAGCAGTTTGTGTTTGTGTCTCTTAAAATACTAAGAAGGAACCTAATTATATCCTGGCCCCGAGTAAATTGGGCCCTGTTTAGACAGTGACTATTTGGGTATCTGTCTGTTTTAGCTACGGTGTCTTGACTTACGCGGTTCAAGCCACTAGTACATCCAAGCACATTGTTCCTCTTGCGTCTGAGACAAAGCAATGTAAAGAATAAATATTAAAATTATATATTCTTTGCTTCAAAACCTTCCAAGCTTTCTGCCTTATAATAGGAGGTTTCTTGCGGTAAGAACTGCAGCCGGTCCCCTCGTTAGGACATTGCGATGGAGTCGTTTCTGATGGTGCTCCTAGAGAATCTGTGTGGCTTTTTCTATTTATAAGCACCCAGGAACAGATGCCCTGGTGCAGAGGGGTGTCGTTCCAACGTGTCTTTTAAATGACTGTTTCAGTGACTGCAGAAGGTGTGTGGCTGGGGACCTGCAGAGCAGTAAGTGCATCCTGCCTCGCCGCGGACACGGCTCGTGCTGGCAGGTTGTGGCCGTGCTGGTGCAGCCCCGTTTATTTACTCCTTGTACCAGCTGCTGCGGAGGGAGAGAGGGGCAATCTCCTGGCAGCACCCTGCCAAGGGATGTACTTATAGCACAAGCAGTGAATTAGTACGACTTCCTCAATCCCGGAGGAGAGAAAATGGTTGGAAAGCAATGGGCACCGCAGTCCCTGGGCAGAGCGATCCCTGCAGGAGTCGCATATCCCAGACAGATCTGCTCTGCAGATGTCCCCCACGAGGAAAATCACCAAGGCAGGCGCTGACATAACAAGCTACTGTTTGCCCATCGTGGCTTTTGAGGCCATGGGGAAGCAGGAGAAAGGGAAGGTGTTTGGTTTTCCTTGGCTGCTCTCTGCGAATGGAAAAACTGTGAGTTAACGTTCTGGGGCAAAACCATGACCATTCAGGCCAAATCCTACTCTCAGTTACCTTACTGCAACTCCAATGAAGTCAAGATTAATAGTCTTTAATGTGCCTTGCAGGGATAAAATAAGGTAGGGTTTGGCCCATGGTGTATATTTTACAAAATGTGGAGAGTAGGGGATGTATATGTTAAGTAATGAAATGCCTGCAGTTGTCAAAGTGGGAGTTCAAATAATAAAGGAGGAGCATTTAACATAAAAATACAACTCGGAAGTAATCTTCCCCATAAAATTCCGACTGCAGAGTGTCACTATAATGCACTGTAATGACTGGGAGGGGGTGTAATTTTAGAAAGTGGTTTTAAAATGCTGTTCTGGAATACATCTGGATTCTCTTAGGAACAAGCAAAATCTCATCAGGGACCACTTCAAAGACCATTTCCTCATGGTTAAATTATCTTGTGTGAGCCTGCTGTTGCATGTACATTGTTACATTATGTATGATTTTTGACTGCTCCTAATATGAACAAACTGCATGATATTCCATTAGTGATTTTCAATTTGTACAGCGCCTTAAGTCACAGAGACAGCATGCTTTGCTGGGTTTACTTTGTAGATATGCATTTGAGAAAGTGTCACATGCCTCCAAGCTCGTGTCCTGCCTGGAGATTTTGGAAATTGGAATTCATTTTGTTTCTATTTAGCATCCTGGTGTTATGTTTATGGTGGTGTTTAAGTGACTTTCTAATTTAGCGTTTCTATGAAAGTGAATAATAATGACACTACTGTATAATGTGGGTAACTTGCACGCAGCCTGATGGCCGGGCTTTGGATCCTGTCTGGGATTTGGCTACCATGTGCCAGTGTCTTGCGAGATAACGACTGCTAAATTTACCAGGTAATTTTTAGCTTCATTTTCTTCCATTTTTATGGTATGCCATTTTGTCTTAGATTCCTCCGTGTAATGTACAGCTTGCACATCTTGGGTCCATCTTCATCCATAAATTGCTAGTGCAAACATGTCCTTGGGAGACTGAAATTCCCTCTGAATGGATCTGAGTTCAGCATCTGGCTCACTCTGTGGTTTGGCCCCCTGCATCTCTCCAAACATAGAGAGCATAATGAGCTGCATAACATAGGGCAGCTCATAATACTTCAGTAGGCCTGAAGAGAGATTTTCAGCAATAAAGGAATAAATAAATAAAAGGCAGGATGTAAAGAGTGTACAATAAAACGCATCCCTGCTCCTTCATTTTACAGGGGATTTCCATAGTGTTTGGGATTACATGGAATTGCTGTTAAATCATCCGGTCACTCCTGGTTGACCTCTCTCCCTTGAGCCAAACTTTTGCAATGCTATATTAAAAATAATTAAAATACATCAATGCTTTCCTAATATTACTCTTCCATGGAAGCAATTGCTACAGCTGCTAGAGGGAGATTATTCACCTGCCGGAAGGATTGGAGGACAGAATGGAAAATAGTCTTTCTCTGAAGGTGAAGCCTGTGTTACAAAAGAAGCTTAAATTTTGACTTATGTCGTCTTCTGTCTCTTTTTGGTATATAATCTGCACTGCTTTTTATGCTTCTTTTTATCCTCCCCATTCAGCGGGGCAGAGGTCTGAGAGGGTCTCTGCACCACTCACTTCTTCGCCATGGGACTGGTGAATTTTAATTCTACACAATTTTAATTCTAGCATACAAAATCTCCCAGCTCCTGCCTGCCTCACTGCACTACCTGCAGTGTCAGAGCAGGGCAGTTATTTAAAATAACTCGCATGGTAGATAGCACTGATTTGTGCTAAGCTAGAAATGAGAAAATCCTTACTATTGTCTGCACCCGCTTGAATTAAATCTGGCGCCTTGCACAGATGGTGCCAAACGCAGCAATGTTATTTCTCTTTGTGCTCATGCATAAGCTCAATCAGTCTGACATCCCAAAGGAACATTTACATGTGCGCCTAATTTATAAAGAATCTTATGGGGGGAAAAAAGAGGAAGAAAAATGATTCCTCTCATTTTTCATCTTTTCAGCTCACCTGTTATTGAAGACACAAAGCAAGGGTAGAATAGAGGGGGTTTGAATGGCATTTTTCATGCAGATAGATTGAGGAAGGGCTGCGCAGACTGTGCCCTTAATTCATTATTAGTTTTGCCTTGTCAGGTTCTTCAGTCTTGCTGTTGAAAAACGGCTCCGTAGACGCCTGGTCGCTGACGGAGGAGCCGGCGGCTCCGCGAGGGCCTTCTCGGCTGCCCTGCGCTCTTGGGGCCAGCCAAAACCTTCCACCCAGCTCGGCTCCTTCTGCCCCTCGGGTGTCCGTGTAGCAACACACCTCTCTGCATTAAGAAAATAGACCCCTGGAGAGGGCTGCTCCTACTCGCAGGTCCTTGGAAAGGTAAAGCCACAAACACCCTTTCAAAAAGCTGGAAATAGACCCCTGGAGAGGGCTGCTCCTCCTCGCCTGCACACACAGGAGGTCCTCGGAAAGGTAAAGCCACAAACACACTTTCGAAAAGCTGAGCTTAGGAATGACAGTCTAGGAAGTTATTCCCAATATTGAGTAACTGAAGTAATAAAAGTCAAGCTAATGTCTTGCTACCTGGAGAAAGCTTCAGTCGGAACCAGAAGGATTCCAGAAAACGGTTCTGAGATGGAAAGAAAAATAATTTGCAACCAAATGCAGCTGCCTGCGCTCCCCAAACATCATCTTCCCTGAGCAATCTCCTCAAAGCTTCCCGCAAGGAAAGGTTAATGGAAACTTGAGAAATGCCTGGTATTTGCTTTGAATCATTCTTATCACTGTCTTTCATTACTCTTTGAATAGCATGCCTCCATAGAAAACTCCTATACAAGGAATTGAGGAAAATATGCAGAGTTAGAGCAAAATAAGAACAACGGGTACTTCGGGTGGGAGAGGGACAGCTCTGAATGCAGCTGCAAACGTTTGCAGCTGCTCTGCTTGCCCGGGTGGCCGTCCTGGGCCAGCTCCCTGCTTTCCAGCCTGCTGCCGCCTGTGGTTTGTTCTGGGACAATATTGCCAAGGAAATGGTCAAAACCAGCACGTTCCCAAAAGAGGTTTGGGCTTCAGCAGAAATATTTTTCTGTAAGAAATTCCTGTTTGCAGTATGAGTGGAGAATAATGAGCTGCAAGAGAGAGCGTGGAGGAGGAATTACTCTCCTGCGATGCAGGTTGCTGTGAAGCTGCACAAAGAAAATGACCCTCTTGCCCATGACCTCTCTTCCCATGTAAACCCCTCATTTTCCTTCCAGTCACTGACAGCTCGGGCAGATTCAACGCCCCTTTCTTCTTTACTGATGAAAATAGTGTATTTGATGGTAAAAAAGCATGATCCTGTCGGTGCCTGAGCAGCTTATTTATGTTTAGGCATTCCACTGTGCTTAAAACGCCAACATTTCTGAGGTTTTTCTTTGGGTCTGCTTGTAAGGAAAAGGGCCATTCTCAACATTGGAACAGGATGCAGTGAAATAATATTTACCCATTATTCCAGACAGCTAAAAGATAGCAGGCTTTAGCATATATTTATTATCTCCAGGAAAGCCACAGTTGATCATTTTTTCCTCCTTTAAGCATATACAGATGCCCGTGACAAATATTTACACACCAGAAACCCCCCTGGTCTCCTAGTGCTTCTGTACCAGCCCTCGCAGGAGGATGCATCGAAAGTGGAGTGTTTCACTAGCTACAGGGTATGACTTCCGCTAATATTTAGTCCCAAACCTTACTAAGGGCAGCATATCTGGTGCGAATCAAAAAAAGAATCCTGCAACAATTTTAATTACACAGCATATATTCTCTTTTTAGGAGTTAGTACCTTTTTCTGCATTTTCAGTCAGTTTTGTATCAATATAACTGTTGTAGTAAGACAAAGTAATAAATCATGACAGTTAACCTTCTTTCTCTTGGAGAGATTCCTGGGTAGGGTTTAACATACCTGGATCAAGTAATTGAGCAAGAAGCTGTTGGTCCCGATGATGACCGTTTTGTGTGCAACACTGCTAATCAATTAGAAAATGTCCAAGGAACTGATGGCCAGATCTTCGAGAAGGGCAGAGCTACAGAAGTGTCCAGGTGACGCTTCTTCTGTCCCCTTCTGGCTCTTGTATTTTAAACTAGCTCAAGAAGAGCCCTGGCACCCCCTGGTCATCATCCCAGGGAGTGAGTCGGAATAGCTGCTCTGCATCCCTTGCTCGGGGAGTAAAACTGGTGCTGCACAAGCAGCCAATACTGCTGCTGCGGTGGTAAACTGTGCTCTGAAGCCTAAGTCTGAAAGCTCTGGAATAAATGGGCTGCCTAGAAAGAGAAAAACAGAAAAATACCCATTATTTTATAGGTATTAAAGAAGGTACTTTTATAGCATGTGAATGCCCCAAACTGCTTTCGGGAATCTAATAATAATTTCTCAGGAATCTAATAAACCCAAAGTAGATTTGTTTTTCTTTAATTGACTCAAATATAGCTTGAGGTACACATTTGATATCCTAACATTACTTCTGATTTGGTTTCATATGCTATTTTCTAAAAGCTATTTGACTTCCAAATCAGCACTCTAGGCTATACTTTGTTTTTCTATCATTGGTGGTTTAGGGGGGACTCTATATCTCCCCCCACACCCCAAATTTGCTACACTGTAAAAATTCATAACTCTCAAGCATTTAAAAGCATTGGATTTCTAGGTGACTCTGGTTTATTCAAACTGAAAGCTGAGAGTATAATTGAAGCTGGTTTGTGTGTGTGTGTATATATATATATATATATGTATAAGGGTACTGGCGAAACCAACAGTAAGTTGATTCATTTTTCAAAAAAAGAAAACTACAGCTTTTTTTTTTCTTTAGTTAGAGAAGAGCATTGTTAGGGTCAACTCCAAACGTTCCTCTATGT